ACCCCAGCGCGCAAGGGTATTTAAGGTAGCTAGGGCAAAGGCACAGAGGAGCTGAGGGGAGAACTAGGTCTCTGGGTAGTGGCGTGTAACTGTACCGCCCCCGGCTCCAGCAGCGGAGACAAGCCAGACAGGGGCGGGTAGGAGGTAGGCAGACCCCCTTCCTCTCCCTTTCCCCCTCTTGGCTTTTACCTGCTGCCGCTGAAGCGCAGCCACTTGCTCTTGCTGGATTTGCTACTCGGCTCCGACTGAAGAGCAGCCACTGTATATACAGCCTCTTGCACCTGCAGCTGAGGGAGCCACCTTCTGAGTAGGGCAGGCTCCAGCATCCCAGCTCCAGGATGTCATCCCTGGCCAACGCTGAGGCTTCTCAGCCACCCACGGGGATGCACCGGCAGATTGTCGCGACTCTCGCCTGCCTGCTCCTGAACTGCCCTGCGCTGCAGGGTGAGGTACCTTCGCACGGAACCGAACTTCACCCGGCGCTTTACCTGCCTGGCCACAGAGACGCACTTGGCAACAGCATCCCAGACGGTTCCGGCGTCCTGATCTCCAACCCTGGGCTCCGGGTGCCGGTGGGGCGTTCGCTCTGGCTCGACCCGCTCCGGGACCTGGAGATTCGAGTGCAGCCTGGGGACCAGTGCGAAGTGACGGTGCTGGACGCCCCGCCGCTGCAACAGGGAGCCCTCTCCCCGCGCCGCTTTCCCTGCGCCTTCGGGCCGCATCAGATCCAGTACACTCACTTTGGCGCCCGCAGACCCGAACGCGCCCGAGTGCCGCTGCAGCTGCGCTACGACGCCTTGACTTACTCGCTAGTGCTGCCCTTCTCGCTGGAGGTAGACGTTGTCTTCTCCCAGCTGAAGCTGGTGACACGCAACAGGCCTTTGGAGGTGGAGAAGCTGCTGGGCTGGAGTCATGCCATTGACAGGGATGTACTAGACTTCACCTCCCTGGAGTCTGGAGCCACAGCCGCCCCCAGGTGTCGGCTTACCCCCCTTCCACCAGAGGTCAGCCCACTGCCCAAGTATGGGCGCTTGGTGGAAGCTGGAGGGACCCTTCTCCCCCGGGGCAGAGGTATAGACTGTGAGACTTTCTTCAGGGCTGGAGTGCGTTACCAGCACATGGCCACCATACCCTCACCCAATCGGGACTATGTGCCTATGATGGCAGAGCTGCTAGCACCAGAGGACCGAAGCACTGGGTTAGTAGAGGTGCTGGCCCGTGAGTACTTCCAGCTGCTGGTGATAATCCGAGAGGGAGTCAAGAACACGGCCCCCAGACCCAGCTTCTTGGTCATGATGATGATGGAGGTTGATCAGTACATGCTAACAGCCCTGATGCCTGATGCTCTGGCTGCTGAGGACACTGAGTCAGACCCTGATGACCTGGTTTTCAACATTCTCAATGCCTCCACAGTCTCTCCAGAGTACCTGGCTTATCAGGGGTACCTCATCAGCACCGATGATCCCCTAGGCCTTCCAGTCTTCTCCTTCACCCAGAGAGAGCTGCGGGAGCTGAAAATTGCCTATCAGCCTCCTACAAAGAATTTGGATGAGGAGTTTCTCATCCAGCTGAAGCTGGAGGTGATGGATGAAGATGGAGCCACCTCAGACCCCTTTGCCTTTGTGGTAATAGTGAAGCCTATGAACATCCTGGCCCCAGTGGCTACTTATAACAAGGGACTACTGCTTTTTGAAGGCCAGTCAAGGCCCCTGGCCAGCTCTCACAGTCTGAAAATAAGTGATAAAGATAATCTGGAAGAGGTGAAAGTGGCTGCAGTCAGGGGCTTGAGAAATGGGCAGTTGGTGGTACTTGGGTCACCTGCTGGTTGCAAGCATTTCACACCAGTGGATCTGGAAGAAGGGCGAGTGGCATACTTGCACGATGGCAGTGACACCCACAGTGATAACATCATCTTCCGGATGGAGGATGGGTACCACCAGGTGGAATTCCTCTTCCACCTCACCATTGTACCTGTTGATGATGAATCACCAGTAGTCATTGCCAACATGGGACTCTCAATAACTGAAGGACAGGTGGTACAGATCTCCCCCTTTGTCTTGTGTGCTACAGATGTTGACTCTGAGGACTCCACTATCCGCTTTGTGCTGGACAATCAGTCTCTGGAAGTTGAAGAAGGAAGAAAAGGTTGGGATCAGGCTCCTGGTTCTTCTCACTCAGGCCAGCACCTGGGGGAGATGCTGCTGTGACAGGTTGAACCACCTCTGCCTCCTGTAGAGGAAGAATGGCATTATGTAGAAAAGAAAGGAGTTTATGAGAAGGTGGTGAGCGAGTGGCTACAGCGAGATATAACAGAAGGAAGACTCCTCTACCGACATCTTGGACCCCACATCCCTCAATCTATAATGGCCCACCTCACTTTTCATGTACAGGATGACCATGACCCACCCAATCTATCTATCCAGCACTTCTTCATTATCAACGTTCAGCCAGTGGATCTACTGAGGCCAGAGCTATATCCTGGAACTACTCTAAAAATGGATGTGCAAGAATACAAACTCACTCACTTCCAGAAGAAATTCCTGTGATACATTGACAAAGACTCAGATGACCAGAACCTACAGTACACTCTACTGACACCTCCAACTGACACAGATGACAACTACCAAGTCCCAGTTGGAGAAATTGTGCTCACTGATGCACCAGACACACCCGTCATGCACTTTACCCAGGCTCAGGTAAATCACCGGAAAATTGCCTACCAGCCTCCCCAGACAAAGCTGGGTATTACACTCCGGGTAGTGCAATTCACCTACCAGGTGGAAGATGCTGCAGGCAATAGTGTACTAGGTACATTCACATTATTCCTTCACCCTTTGAATAACCAGCCTCCACAAGTCATTAACAGAGGCTTTACTGTCTTGGAGAGAGGCAGCTTTATTCTCAGCAGTAATGTGCTGGATGTTACAGACTCTGACACAGATGCTGACCAGATCATCTTCATGTTAATCTTGGGTCCCCAACATGGGAAATTGAAGTACTTGAAAAAGCCTATGGTTCCAGGAGACTCTTTTATACAAGCTGATATTATTAATGGAAGTATCTCTTACAAGCACGGCAAAGACCAGACTGCCAGTGACACCTTCCAGCTGGAGGTAAATGGCAGAGTACATCATGTACCCATTGTTGTCCAGATTTTTGTACATTCTACTGCAGATAAGAGTTCTAGGATCTCTGAAACAGGTAGTTCATTATTGGATGTCTCCATAGATGTACTAGAGAACAGAGCCACTGAGCTCACAATGAACATCATCCATGACAAAAAGAACACAAGTGACTCAGTGCTGACTTTTACTGTAGAGGACAGCCCCAAATTGGGCATCATTCTGGTGAATGATTTGCCCACAGAACGATTCACTCAAGAGGACCTTATCAGTGGAGCAGTAGCATATCTCCACACTGGAGGTGAAATTGGTTACCAGAAGCAATATGATAACTTCAGCTTCTGTTACTGCAAGAATTTTTATCAATGGGTGTTGGGGAATAGCATTGAGAAGAGGGTGCAGGTGCAAGTGACTGTGCTGCCTGTGGACAATGTGTCCCCAAAGATCTTGGTAGGAGAGTCCTACATTGTCTATGAAGGTGGGAAGAGTCCTTTGACCTTGCAACATCTCAGTATTGAAGATGTGGACTCTCCCCAAGATAAAATCTTATGCATAATGACTGGTCAGCCAGCCTCTGGCTACCTGGAAAATACTGCACCATCTGCTGGCTCAGATGAATCAGGGACAGGTAGCCCTATCAGTGCTTTCTACATCAGAGATGTCCAACTGAGGCATATCAATTATGTACAGAGTATCCACAAGGGGACAGAACCACAAGAAGATCAATTCACCTTCTATTGCTCTGATGGTGTAAACTTCTCCCCCAATGTCTTCTTCCCTATAATAATCTTACCCAGCAATGATGAACAGCCTGAAATTTTCACTCATGAATTTGTGGTATTAGAGGGGATGAGCTTAGTAATAGACACCCCACTACTCAATGGAGTAGATGCTGACCTGCCACCAAATAAGCTTCACTTTCAACTCACAGCCTTCCCTCGACATGGACGAATCATACAGCAGCTGGCCACAGGCAGCCAGCCAATCCACAGCTTCACCTTACAGGAGATTCAGGAGGCATCCACCATCGTGTATGAACATGATGACTCAGAGACCACAGAGGACAGTTTTGAAGTCTGGCTGAGTGATGGCAAGCACACCACCCACAGGAAGGTACCTATCACGGTGATTCTGGTGAATGATGAAACTCCTCAACTAACCATCAATAATGGGCTGGAAGTAGAGGCTGGACATACTGAGGTCATCACAAATGAAGTCCTCAGGGCCACTGACCTTGACTCAGATGATAAAAGCCTCAGTTTTGTCCTTCATTCTGTGCCTCAACATGGGTTTCTACAGCAACTGGGAAAACCAGGAAGAGAAACAAGGAACAGTTTCACTCTGGGAATGAACTTTACCCAAGAAGAGATTGATCAAGGCCTCATATGTTACACCCACACAGGCCAAGAAGGGGTTCAAGACCTTATCAAGTTTGATGTGACTGATGGGGTTAACTTTTTGACAGACTGCTACTTCTATATCAAAATTGTCAACTTAGATGGGACCTTCCCTGAGGTGGTGACCAAAGGGGTTCCATTGAAGGAAGGTGGCAGAGTGACCCTCACCACACATCTTCTAAGCACTGGTGACATCAACATCCCTGATGAACAGCTCCACTTTAGCATCACACAGGCTCCTAACCAGGGCCACTTGGAAAGTTCTGACTATCCAAGGGAACCCATTACCTTTTTCACTCACCCTCAATTGGCTAGCAACAAAATATTCTATGTTCACACTTCAAATGATGAAATAAAGATGGACAGCTTTGAATTTCAAGTGACTAATGGACACAACACTGTGCATAGAGCCTTCAGGATCTTCATCATGGATGTGGATAATAAGAAACCTATCTTAACTATCCACAAACTAGTAGCACAGAAAGGGGATAAGAAACTGATCACTCCTTTTGAGTTGACAGCTGAGGACAAAGATACCCCAGATGATCGTCTTCTCTTTACCATCACCCAGGTCCCCACCCATGGTAGAATTTTGTATAATGGCAGCCATCCTGTCTCCACCTTCACCAAATGGGAGTTGAATGAGAACCTGATCAGCTACTGGCATGATGGCAGTGAAACCAATGAAGATAGTTTGTCATTGACTGTGACAGATGGCAATCACACTGATTTTTACATTTTTCCAGACACTGCCTTGGAGACACACAAACCTCAGATAATGAAGATCCAGATAAGCTCCCTAGACAATAAGCTCCCCAAAATTGTCATTAACAGTGGGGCTCTATCTTTGAAGAAACTTCATGCTGGACACATGGGCTTCCTGATTACCAGCAAGTCTCTGAAAGCAAAGTATCAGGACAGTCCCCATAGGCTCCTGAAGTACAAAGTGACCAGAGGACCAAAGCATGGGTACATTGTTAACACCAGCCTTGGAAATGAGAGCACGCAAGTGTTTACACAAGGTTAGTAGTCATTCTCCCTGGAGTACTGCCCCTCTCTTTCAGTGCATTAGTTCTTTATGTAAAATTGTCCTGACCTGAGACAATGTGAAGAAAGATTCAGGTTCTAATGACATACCACAGAGTGTAAAATTATTTCTGACACTGAAAAAGGCAACAAGTGCTTTTGTTTAGCTATTTCAGCAGAATGACCTCTTAACAAGAACCCATAGGTATTTAATAAGATTGTAGCTACCCCTTAACATTACAAAACATGGGCAGATTCTGCTTCTGAAGCATTATAAAATAAGGTTATGTTTTGTTAGTATTATATTTTAAATTTAAGTAAAGAATGGCATATCTGGGAATCATAGTTTATTAGGAAAGCTGGATTTTTTAAAGCTATTTTGTACCTCGATTTTGGAAATAAATTATTATACTATGCTCATTTGTATTATAATATGCAAATGTAATTTCTGCATTTATTAAAAAAAAGCATAGATATAACTGCATGAATGTGTAGAGAAAATATTTTAAAGACCACTTTCTTTATAGCTGATGTTGCTATTAATGGTGAACAAGAGATTAAGGAAAAGGTCCCTCTGATTTCCCAGATGATATGACACAGATATTTGTCCTCTGGTTGCCCTTTAGATTACCTTCCAACTTCTTTATGTAGCTTCATAGATGAGATGTGAAGGGATGTAGAGTTTCCAGTATATGATACATTTATACCTGGATGAGGGGAAGGCCCTCAACAAGATGGATTGACACAGTGGCTGCAATGATGGGCTTGGGTACAGGAAAGATCGTGGGGCTGGCACAGGACCGGGTAGTGTTTCATTCTGCTGTACCTGAGGTCGCTATGAGTCAGAGATGACTCAATGGCACCTAACAACCATATCTAGATGTAAGCTTAAAGTGATCTTATGAAGGAGATTTTTTAAATAATTTGGTTACATTCTCAGAAGCCCTACATTGTTAAGGAAGCCACTCTGGTGGCTCAGTGCCTAAGGCATTTGACTGCTAACCAGAAGACTGGCTGTTCAAACACCCCAGCCACTCCAGGGAAGGAAGACCAGGCAATCTACTTCTGTAAAGATTTACCTCCTTGGAAACCCAATGAGGGTCACTAGGAGTCAGAATGAACTCAATGGCAGTGGGTTTTGACATTGTTCAAGCAAAAATTTTTGTTCCTAAAGCAAATGAAATCATATGTAGTTTAATAGGAATTTTCTTATACATTCAGGTAATGCAGTAAACCCACTGCTGTCAAGTCTATTCCTACTCATAGCGACCCTATATGACAGAATAGAATGCCCTACACTGTTTCCAATGTTGTAAATCCTTATAGAAGCAGACTGCCACATCTTTCTCCCATGGAGTGGCTGGTGGGTTTAAACCACCAACCTTTCATCTGAAGGTTAAAGAAGTTGAGTATTGTAACCACTGTGCCACCAGTTTGCATAAATAAATACCCCAAAATCATTTGTCCTTAAAATACTAGTATTTAACATAAAAACAGAATTATAGACTTGACTTACAAATTCTTAAAAATTCAAGAGAATAGGCAATAGAAAAATCACAACTTTGTCTTCTTTTCTCTCAAAAGACAGCAGTTGTTCTTATTTCAATTCAATTCAACAGATAGTTGAGTACTTACCATACTCTAAGCTCTATACTTGTGCAAAAGAATTGAAACTAGATAGACCTAGTTCTCCATAGAATGCCTGAATGCTGTAAGTCATGTATAACTAGAATGTTCTCCTTGGTGGGACATCATTCCAGGGATCATACACACAGTAGAACTGTAGTTTATTTTTAAATTGAATTTCTATTTTTGCCATTTTACCTTAAGAAAAAGTTAGAATCATGTTCAGTTACCAAAAACCAAATACACTGCCATCAAGTCAATTTGACTCATAGCAACCCTTGCTTGGGTTTCCTAGGCAATATCTCTATGGAAGTAGATTTCCCAATCTTCCTTCCAAGGAGTGGCTGGTGGGTTTGAACCTCCAGCCTTCTGGTTAGCAGTCAAATGCTTTAGGCACTATGCCACCAGAGCTCCCATGTTCAGTTAGTCATGGTTTTAAATTTTATTCTTTGTAGCTATTCCATGTCCTATTAAAAGACTGAAGTTCTTAACATATTTATTTTCTATTTTGTTACTATGATTTGGTGTGATGCTCATTTTTAGCTGATATTGATGAGATGAGGATCTTCTATGTCTTGAAAGAGGGCAGCAATGCAACAAAAGACATCTTCTACTTCTCTATTGAAGACAATGGTAAGTCATTATTGAACCTTAATACAGGACTCTTGGTTAGTTAAAATCAGTATGAAACTTAAAGAAAAATTAAACTTTTTACAGTAATCACAATTGGTAATGTCAGAAGTGTACAATAATTTAATGTCATAAATTACTGATAAATGAATTCTTTCTTTAAATTCATGGGCCTATGGCAAATGATTCTTGACAATTACCTTTTAGGAAGGGAAAGTGTTATAGATTGAATTGTCTCCCAAAATATGTGTTGTAAATCTTAACCTCTATGTCTGTGGTTATAATCTCATTCGGGAATGGGTTGTCTTTGTTATATTAATGAGGCAGGATTAGAGTAGGGTACATCTTGAATCGATCTCTTTTGAGACATAAAAGAGATTAAGCAAGTAAGAAGAGTAGAGATGGAGGAAGAGAGATGCCAAGCCTTATAAAAACCACCCAGGAGCAGAAGCTCAAAAAAGACAAAGACCTTCCTCTGGAGCCAACAAAGAGAACACTTTCCCCTGGAGCCAGCACCCTGAATTCAGACTTCTAGCCTCCTAAACTGTGAGAAAATAAATTCTGTTTGTTAAAGTCACCCATTTATGGTATATCTTTTATAGCAGCACAAGATAACTGTCGTAGTTAAGGTTTTATGCCAGCTTGGTTTTAAGGGCTGGGCAGCTGGGTGTAGTTATTCCTCATGATGAGCCTGGTAATCGATTCCATGGTAGAATCTACTGTAAGCAGCTGAATAGCTGCCTTTGGAGTGCGATCTGCTTCCAGTATATAAGAGGAAGTTTTGAGAAATGTCTCTAGCTTTGTGGCACATCTGGATCCTGCATTTGGCCATATCTTTATCTCAGTGACCTGCCATGTCATCTGCCAATCTTGAGACTGTTTCTGGAGTTGAACTAGTGGCCAGCCATGTTGCTTGATAATTTGGGGACTGTGCCATTTTACTTGTTGACCTTGGGTTGTCAGCCTTAGTAGCCAGCAACTAAGTTAAGAGAAGCCTCCAGTTTCAGTGGGCCAGGAGCAAGAGGCAGAGCTGAGGCCCAAGGTCGAGGGGCTTTGACCCAGCCCCTAGAGCTAGCACTTTGAACTTGGACTTCTAGCCTCCTAGCTGTAAGAGAATAAATTCCTTTTTGTTAAAGCCATCCACTTGTGGTATTTTCTGTTGGAGCCAAATTGGAAAACCATAACAATAACCAAGACAGAATTTTGTACCAGGAGAGGAGTATTGTTCTAACAGATACCTAAAATGTGGAAGTTTTGGAATGGGATAATGAGTAGAGCTGGAAGAGTTTTGATATACCTCATAGTAAAACCTGGACAATGAATAAGGAAGTCTGAAGATGAATTGATGTCTTTGAATTACATTGTTATCAGAGAATATTGAATATATCATGGGCTGCCAAATGAATGAACACATCTATCTTGGAAAAAATACAGCCAGAATGACCTTTAGAAGGGAAGATGGCAAGATTTCATCTTATTATGTTATCAAAAGGGACCAGTTATGTTGACATGTTATCAAGGGGGGACTAATCCCTGTAGGATATAATGCTTGATAAAGTAGAGGGTCAGCAAAAAAGAGGAAGACCCTCAATGAGATAGATTGACACCATTCCTGCAACAATAAGCTCAAATATAACAACTATTGTGAGGATGGCACAGGAGCAGGCAGTGTTTTGTTCTGTTGCTATGAGTCAGAACCAACTTGAAGACACCTAACAAAACAGTAGTAAAAGCCTAGATTGCCTTGATGAGACTGTTGTTGGAATTATGGATGTTAAAGCAAATTCTGGTGAGGGCTCAGAAGGAAGTGAAGAAAGTTATAGAGAAAGTTGCTGTCATCTTAGAGAATACATATGGTGCCAGAAACAGAATTTTGCTAAAAATGTGGATGTTAAATGTGCTTCTGGTAAGGATTTAAAAGAAAATGATGAACATATAATTGGACAATTGAGGTAGGACAATTCTTTATATGCAGTAGCAAAGAACTTGTCTGAAAGGTGTTCAAATTTTTGGTGGAAGGTAGAACCTGTAAGTGATGAACTTGAATATCTGGCTGATGAGATTTCTAAACAAGATCTTCAAGGGGCTATGTGGTTTCTCTCTTCTGCTTATTGTAAAATGTGAAATGAAAGAGATAGGTTTAAAAATGAACTGTGCAAAATGAAAACAAAACTTAAAGATTTGGAAGATTCTGTTACATAAGCTAAGGACATGTGTTATAAAATATTTACCAAGGATGCTGTTGTTGTTGTTATTGTTATGTGCCATTGAGTCATCTTCAACTCATAGTGACCCTATGTAAAACAGAACAAAACACTGCCTGGTCCAGTGCCAGCCCCACAATCCCTACTGTACCTGATCCCATCACTGCAACCACTGTGTCAATCCATCTTGTTGAGGGCCTTCTCCTTTTTCATTGACCCTCCACTTCACCGAACATGATATCCTTCTCCAAGGAATGGCCCCTTCTTACAACTGACCAAGGTAGGTGAGACAAAGTCTGGCCATCTTCGCTTCCAATGAGCATTCTGGCTGCACTTCTTCCAGGACAACAATAAGCTCCAGAATACCAAGGATATGGCTACAAAATCTTTTGTTAAAGAGATTAATCTTGTCAGTGATGGATCTAACCAGCTACCACAGCAAAAAAATCCATCAACTTAGACTGAAGATGACAGAGGAAGTATGAAAAGAAAGAATACTGTCTGTTTCTTGGAACTCTACAGGCAGAAAATAGGCCAAAGGAACTACATCTGTTGTCTTCCAAGAAAAGAAAAGGACCATCCCTAGACAAGCTCGTTGTTCAGCAGAACTGTTGGAAGGAGCATGGGAATCAGAGCTTTCTTGGTTTCAAAGAGTGGATCCATGGTTTCCTGGATCTCCAAGTGTGGGGTTACTGCATCCTAGATTTCAAAGAGTTGGCTCTTTTCCAATTCATTTCTGGAGTTTGGGGCTGTGGTCAAGATGTGCCAGTGTGGGTGGAGCTGCCCAAAACTGCAGCGGTAGGTCTACCATGCCCAAGAGACAGAATAACAGGGCTTGCTGGGGCTGAGGGGGTGGATTTACCACTCAGATGGACTAGGAGAATAGAGCAACCTTAAGCAGAGGGAGCTGAGTTGCTATCCCAGAGGGTCTGGAAGGAGAACTGAAGCCCAGGGCTAAGGGACCTCCACTCAGAATCCAGAAGGTATGGCCAGCATCCAGACATTGCCCAGATGACCTCAGAGAACAGAGGATTATTTTCAAGACTTGAGAGCTAATGTAAATAGTTTGCTGGGTTTTGGATTTGCTTCTTGACTATTATCCCTTCTTTCCCTCAAATTTCTCCCATTTGTAATGGAAATGTCTGTCTTGTGCCTGTTCCACAATTGTACTTTGGGAATAGATACTTTGTAGTCCAGATTTCACATTCACAGATGAATAAAAATTTACCCCAGGATAAAACAGGTCCAAATACTCATCCATATTTCATTTGGATGATTCAGAAGATGAGATTTTGGACTTGGAGTTAAGACTTTGGGGATTAAGTGATGGGGTAAATGTAATAAGGACATAACTTTTGAGGGGCCAAATGGTGGAAAGTTGTGAATTGAACTGTGTCCCTCAAAAATTTGTGTTGTAACTCCTAATCTCTATGCCTGTGGTTATAAACATACTTGAAATGGGTTGTCTTTGTTATATTAATGAGGCAGGGTTAGCGTAAGGTGCATTTTTAATCAATCTTTTTTGAGATATGGAAGAGATTAAACAAGTGAAAAGAGTCAGGGCAGAGGCGGGGAGGAGCAAGGAGGAGAGAGATGCCTAGCCACATGAATATTACCCAGGAGCAGAAGCTCAAGAGACAAGCATCTTCCTCTAGAACTGACAGAAAGAGAAAACATTTCTTTAGAACTGGCACCCTGAATTCAGATATATAGCTTCCTAAACTGTGAGGAAATAAATTTCTGTTTGTTCAAGCCATTCATCTGTGGCATTTCTGTTATAGCAGCACTGTATAACCAGGACATAATGCAACAGGATTTCAGTAATGAGACCTGAATATTTTACCCAACCTGGATTAGATGTGACATGCTACAGGCAAGGGAATCTTCTCTTCAGGAGGTTCTGACATTCTAGCTGGTGGTTTCTAGCATTCTCAAAAAAATCAGAAAATCTACCTTTAGATTTTGTTAGTAGGCTTTTCACCTCCTGAATACAATCCTAGGAGCTTCTTGATCTTAGAATTGGAGTCTTCTTGGGTAGAATTAATAATATACTGACTGGCATAGAGGAAAAAAAACTTACCCCCAAAAAACTGCCTTTTTATGTTGCACTCATGTCTGTCTATTATGTCTTTAAAGTAGCATGTTTGTTGTTGTTAGGTGCTATCAAGTCAACTCCGACTCATAGCAAGCCTATGTACAACAGAATAAACCACTGCCTGGTCCTGCACCATCCTCACAATCCTTGCTATACCTGAACCCATCACTGCAGCCACTGTGTTAATCCATCTTATTGAAGGTCTTCCTCTTTTTCGCTAACCATTCACTTTACCAAGAATGATATGTTTCTCCAGGAACTGTCCCTTCTGACCACATGACCAAAGTAGGGTAGATGAAGTCTGTGACCATTCTCACTTCCAAGGGCATTCTGGCTGCACTTCTTCCAGGACAGATTTGTTTGTTTGGGCAGTCCATGATATTTTCAGTATTCTTCACCAACACTACAATTCAAAGACATCAGTTCTTCTTAGGTCTTCCTTATTCATTGTCCAGCTTTCACATCATAATGGGCAGCAAGCAGTTAATGAAAGTTACTTTCTTTGCAGGGAAGAAAGGGATATGCTATTTATATGAGCAAAAGCAAAATCATTTCTTTCAGTATGACAGAATAATAGCAGGAATTATGTCTGTGGGCTTCTTGCCACTTGATAATATCTTTCAATAAAAATCACTACTCATTTCCAGTCAGTATTTTACACTTGCTGCCTAAATTGTGTGTAATCAGTCATAGACTGTATTTAC